GGGACTCTCATTCCATACCCAATGGATGTTACAGGTAATTATTTTTCTAGAAAACCCTAGTGGTGTGGTCGTCACATCATGCAGCAACTTGATGAGAGATCCTGCCGCAGTCTAACACACTGTTCTGTGGCCATTGCCAGCATCTGTGTCCTTGAAAAGAACTGACTGGAAGTGCTGCTGTGTCAGTGGCACCAGGGACAACTGTATGTGTACTTCTCTGTTTGGCCACCTGCAGTGCAGAATGTTCCCTGGGCCAGGAGGAAGCCCTCCACCTCAGCCTGGCTGTGAAAAATCTTGCCTCAGGAGTCCCAGTCTGTGACGTTAGAGCCAGAATGGAGAAAAAGTGTTTCATCCGTGTCCTGTAGAAGAGGTGGGGTTATTTGACTCTACCCTTTCACCTGTACGGACTAAGACTTCTGTGCCAGCATATGAATGATGATGAATGCACCATTCTTCCCAGCTGTCCCAGCAGTGGTCAAATAGCAGGCTACACAAGTGTCGGTGAAATGGAGCTGTGGATCAGGTGTATCACGGGGAAAGGTGTTTAGAGAAGATTCTTGTGGCTCCTTGTTTTACAATATGAATTAGTTATGTCGCTTTCCTCTTTTTTATGCCCCTTACTTTCTATTCCTGGATTTATTCTTTTTACGTAACAAAGCAACAATAAATTTTTTTTTATTATTCATTACACTGGTTCCTCAATGTGTGACAGCAGTGATGTACCAGAGAACATGAGTGCAGTGCTCAAGAAGATGTCTCCTGGAAACTTGACCTAGCAGCCTGTGCTAGGTGACTCATCTAGGAGTAGGATCCTATCACAGAGCAGGGTTCCAAACAGAATGCCTTAATAGACCTGGAAGTGTTAAAGACACCCTCCTGTCCCTTTCCTCATAAGAACTCTACTACCTGCATTAAACTTAAAAGAAAATACTACAGTTAATACCGCTGGCCCTAAAGAAATTAAAGATTAATCTGCAGTTTGCTCTTCTTCAGCATATCTTTAATGTTTTAAGATTTTAATATATCTGTTCCTGGCTGGGTCCTAAAGAAGTGGTGCAAATGCTGCTTTACTGCTGTCTTTAAACAGAGATTATGGGGAGTAATTCAGCTACAGAAACTACATCAAGTACAGGACTAGCATCCTCACTCCCAGAAGTAGCTTATGACTGTTAATTTTGATGCAGCACTGGGAAATGTGAGAGATTGTGTCCTGGATACATGGTGTGAGGTAGGAGGTCTGCCTGTCTCAAAAGGCAGGGGTCTCTAATGAAACAAAACTGTTACATTCTTCTTTCAAGAGTAATTCAGGATACGATGGCAGTGTTGGGACCTTGCAGTGCTTGTTTCTGCAGTGTCTGTATGTAAAATATTGCAGGTATTAGTGCAAGACCGTAGGGGAGGGGACGGTGACTGTTTTAAAACTTCTCATTCATTGACACTTTCATATCCATCAAAATTCCCGAGTCAGCCCAGCACTCAGGCATCAAGAGGTCTGTCAGGGGTGCTCTGTGAAGGCACAGGGGATCACGCATGTTAGCTGTTGTATTGTCTGCATTCTTCTTAAGTTGGTAGCCTTATTGCTATCTTCACTAAGAGGGTGCTGAGACACTGGCACAGGTTGCCCAGAGGAGCTGTGGATGCCCCTCCCTGGCAGTGTCCAAGGCCAGGCTGGATGGGGCTTGGAGCAACCTGGTCTGGTGGGAGGTGTCCCTGCCCATGGCAGGGGGCTTGGAACAAGATGATCTTTAAGGTCCCTTCCAACCCAAACCATTCTATGATTTTTGTACCCTTTGGGACTTAGCTGTGATTAATCTCCCCATCCTGCCCCACCTACATGAATGATTATGATTTCTTCATTTTTCTTTGCCTCCCAGTCCGGGCATCCTGAGAAGCTACATGTAGCTATACTGGGGTCTTAGCGGCCTGCTAAACTAAGTGCCAGTAACGTGCCTTTCTCAATAACCCTTCTGATCTTCTTCCTGGCCTTCCAGTCTCTCCATGCTGCTGTGATCCTCGTCATTCTCCAGTTGTGCCGATCAGGTTTTTCCTGTTAATTCTCTGTTTAGCTTGTACATGTGTGCATGTATGCATCAGAACTGCACAAAGTGAACAATTTTCGATTGGGCAAAATTCGACCAGCTATTCAACTCACTAGCTGACAAAACTGCACTAACCCTGAAACAACCTTAATGTGTTGTGTTTACACAAGTTTCCAGTCTATCTGCCAGTCTTCTTAGTTCATATGGTAAAACTTAAGCAATGTATTTCATATTAATTTAGAAAGTTTTTATTTTATTTCTATGCAGAGATCTAGTTTCTTTCAAAAACACACGAAGAAAAGTAAACTTTGAGAAGTGAATATTTAAATGAATATGAAATGGAAAAATTTCTGTGCTAAACTAACTTTACTTAGCGCAGAAGACTGCAAGAACATCCTTGATTGCCCTCCGTACCCAAATGGCAGAATACAAAAGAGCAGAGCAGGATACAACAGAGATAGTGTGTTACAAGAACATTGGACCCTTCAACAATTTTCCGTTAGCAACTTCTAGTGCAATGTCATCCTTGTTAAAGAAAAATCTTTCATGCTCTTCTATTTCTGATGAAAATAACTGACAGGGCCACATGTTAAATGCGAAGTCCTGTGCCTTTCTGACCGCTTCATCAGTATTCTGCTCAGTAACGTACTCCTTTCAGAGCTATTGTAATATCGACTCTTCAGCAGTTTCAAGGGTGTGCTTTAAAATGTGTTAAGGAGGAAAAATCAAACTGATTTATCACAAAAATGTTTTCTCCTTTCCTTCAGGTGTGTAATTTCTTCTCTGACACATTCAGCCACCCTATCCATCCTCTAAATTGCTCGGACACGGTGTCCACAACAGGTTGTATCAGCCTTGACTGACAGTTTCTAGATCCGCTCTTCTGTTGCTCTGCAGGGTTGCAGAAGCTGCCCAAGACTGGAAGTGTTCTAGCAGGATGTTCAATTTATTTCTATATCTCCCAGGTCCAGAGGGCTTTCAGATAATGGAGTTTTTATGCATAGAAAAACTGGTTCCAGGTGTGTTTCAGAGGTGCTTTTTAAGTGTTGGGTAGCTATTTCTTTTCTTCCTGAGCCCTCTTGATTTTTGATTCATAACCTGAGTTGGCAGGCAAAGGACCCCAATAAAACGTTTAAGCCATCCTCTCAGTAATTTCAGAGAGATTTACTCTGTGATATGGAAGGCGTACAAAAAAATAGATGATGGTGCAGACTAGTTTAATGGTCTTAGTTGCGGTACTCTAGGGTGATCTATGTAATTCATTGGGGTTCTCATAGCTTTTCTGGTAATGCAGCACTCCTTCAGACTCTTAAAGCTGTTCAAGCGCATGTTACCATCTTTCCTTAAGCGCATTCTGTAGACACAATAGGACTTTTCAGACAAAAAAGAGAATGAATTTAAATCCTTTTGAGAGGTTGGATCTAGACTGGCAAAGTTGGTGCTGGCACGGAAGTAGTTAACATCTTCCTGCAGCAATATGTTCTTGTTTCCCTGTTGATGTTCCCAGTGCGCATGGTGGCTATCAGAGCGGGCAGTCTCCTCTCCAGTGGGATACTGGCCTGGAAGGGCAATACCTTCTCTGCCTCTCGGTGAGGTGATGATTAACTGCCTGGCTACTTCTACATCTGTTGTCTGTATGGTTTAATTAGACCGATCAGGTGAAGGTGCAACACAGTGGGTGCTCTGTCATGTTTCTGATGTACCTTCTCCAGCTTCTGGCCTTGCTCGCACCCCACCATCATTTCAAAAACCTCAGAGAAAGCCTGCTCTGTTTGAACATCTTGTGTCTGAGCATCTTGCAGAGCTCTTTGGGAAGCAGGTTTGGCTGAGAACAGGTTATCTGGTTAACCCCGGTGGTTTCAAAGTTCAGTCTGAAAATTTAAGCAGCTATGCAGTGGGGATGGGATCATATGTAAAGAAATGATAACTAGAGGCTTCTGGGTCTGCCAGACAGCTCGGGGTTAGCCAGCTTCCTGCCTCCCTTATCCCTCTGCTACTGTGTAAAGCATTTTCTGGTCAAGAGGATGACCACTGTTGTGGGAAAGGCAATGGCTGTGGTTCATGGCTGTGGCCCTACAGGACAATATGTCTCACCCATCTGTACTTGCAAAGCAGGTTGATTTGCATGTTGGTAGTCAAGATCTAAAAACTATAACCCGTAAATGTCATGGCCCAGCACAGATTTTCACAAAAGAAAAGAGGTCCTTGGACAGAGTTCCTGGACCCATTCCCAGACTGCACGTGTGATACCTTCCTCTCTTGAGCTGACTGCCTTTCTGAGGTATTGGACATGCATTGCAAAGCATGACATGAAGGTGGCTTTGTAGCAATGGTTTGGGCTCGTTGCTCCCTCCTTACATAGGAGAACAGCTGGTTTGCTTTTTGATGAACTAATCAGGGGACGTATTGAAGTCACATAGCAAACATCTTGCAGGAAGTCAGCAAAGGCTACAAATCTGTCCTGAGCTTTTTATACTCCCCTTCCCAGACTGGAATGGAACTGTCTGCAATTGTAATGT